CCCCAAAACCCCAAAACCCCAAAACCCCAAGAGTTCAAAAGATTGATAAAATTAATGAAATTAAGTTTAGAAAGATATAACAAATCAAAAATATATTAAAATTACCTATAACGATTATCCTGAAAAGCATCAGATTCAGATTTTAAATTTAGTATCGGAGGAATCTATCTTAGTTACTAACCTCATTTGCTCATTCTAATCAGTTTTGGCATTATTATTAGTACCTGAACGCTTTGGTTTACTATCGTCATAAGTTTTGAAAATCTGCTTCATATCATCATCGAGGTAACTATCCTCTGAGTCAAATTCTATTCTTTCTCTATCGTTCAATTCATCCTTCTTTTCTTTTTTATTGTCTCTTAAACGTTACGAGTAATTTTATGGATTCGACTAGGGCTATAACCTTTAATCAGCTTTGGTCATATCATAGGATTTCTTCTCTTCCTCATGCTGATTAAATAAAATGCTCTCTTCTTCAAGAATTCTTTCCAGTTCATTAATTGACAAGTCATCTTAGTTATTCGCTGGTCTATCATTGATTACCATTTTCTATAGTTCATCATCAATGATCCTCTAGCTTTCAGAGAGCCTTGATTAGTTATGTTATAGTCTAAGATTATTATTTGAAGATATTTTCCTTGCTGCTGATTTCCTGCCTCTAACTGTCTATTTCAGTCTTTACAGTGCTTGGTAAATTTTACGTCCAGCTTTAACATGTGCACTAGTTAGATTATCATCTTGCTTGTTGAATAAATACTTCTTAACATTATACTCTCTCTTTTTAATATCCTAAACAGCAATCACATCATTTTTCTGCTCATCATACATTTCAAATTCTAATTCTAATCTTATTTGAACTCTCTTTTCAAATAGAGTGTATGTATCCATCTATTCCTCTGTCTCGTTTTTCTCACTCTGGTCATCGCTGATAATGCGCTTATGTTTAGCCTTCATATCTGACTCTTGCTTAACCATAAGTATCTTGGTTAAACTTTGCAAAACATCCCAAAAGAGGTAATCCTTGAACTAGTTGTAAGTATTTATAGACATTTCCTCCATAAAGTCATCTTACATATCAATATTATCCTTATAGCTGTCATCCCATCCTAAAGGTTCACCTAGATCAAGCATAAAGTTAGCCATCTTTTAGATTCTGATAAAGCCAGTTCCTTAGGGATCATATTTACACCAAGTATCTCTGAAATGCTCAAGTTAATCTTCCTTAATTACTATTAACTCTTTTTAGTTCATATCCTCAAATCCCTAAAGGATGATAGCAATGAAAAGATTCAAAAATATTAGAGGTACCACAAGGAAAAAGCTTGTGAAAAATATAAATCCAGCATCTGAACCACATCCCATAGTTTTGCTTCCATTAGCAACATATTTGTCATAATCAAAATCTCCATCGTCACAGTCGAAAATAGCAGACTTTTATCTAGTTGAATCTATCATTATTGCATTCCAAGCCTCTCCAGTAGAGCATCTGATCAAAGTGAGGAAGGCGATTCCAAATGTTTAAAAATTAGCATTTTCATCTAACTCTCCTTGCAATTTTACTGTTGCAAATATTTACACCCCTAATATTGAGTAGATGTAAAGAAAAAGCACTAGCAAACCTCCAACATTGGTTAGAGCGGGTATGGTAACGATGAACGTTTCAAAAATAATCTTTAGTCTTCTTGCCCTCTTAATAAGTCTGAATATTCTAGAAATTCTAAAGGCTCTGATAAATGTAGTGGCTGCTCCCAGAGTAACACTAGTGAAAAGTGTTATCAAAATAGAACCAATTGTCCCTGCAACCACTATAAAATCAAATACGTTCCACCTCTCTTTAAAGTAATTTATAGGCCCCAAACCTGTAATCTTCAAGAGGGCTTCAATCGTGAATATGCCAGCAAAAACGTAATTAATATAATCGAGAATAATTATTGACTCCTAAGCCTAGCCATACCAAGACAGCATTAAAACTAATGTATTCAATATTATAGCACTTAAGATGATAATCTCAAAAGGTCTTGAAATAACTAACTACCTGATTAACTCTCTCAAGGGGTTTTAGAGTTTCTCGAGCTATTTAATTTTTGGCTATATCTTTATGCAGAGTTTCTTTTATTCAAGCCATTATCGTTACTATGGAGTTAACAGAAAATTTTTTCCAAGAACCTCTTTCTCTCTGTTAAAAGTTGAGATGACGACTCCGACGAATAGGTTAAGGACAAAGAAGTTACCAACGATGATAAAGAAAACGAAGAACAAAGCCCACCAAGGACTATAATAGGATTTTAGTTAGTAATCTATCCCGATAGAGTCTATTCCGTTGTACATTACACTGACCCAGCCTTCTGTTGTTGAAACTTAATATAAAGTCATGATAGCTTAAATGATATTGTCAAAGTTTTGGTCATTATTAACCCAAATACCACCGTAGTTTAGACAATCGAATTTTGTCATAATAAGCCAATCAAAGTTTTAAACTATATTTTTAGGATAAGTATCAGTTGTATAGCAATAGAAAAATGCACCTTTGAAGTAGTTCACTCCAATAATTCCAAATATTAAAAAGAAGAGAAAAGATATAATGATAACATTCAAGATGTTAGGAAGAGCCATAATAAGCGCTGAAACTGCGATCTTTAACCCCTGGTTTTTACTAATGATTCTCAGAGGTTTTAAGACTCTCAATAGCCTTATCGCTTTTATGCTATTGAAATTTGAGTTTGTATAGAAAAGTGACATTAGTGAAAGAATCACAATAGAAAAGTCTGTAAAATTCCAAAGATTTCTTAGATAGGATAAAGGTCCATTCAAAAATAGACCAAATGTAATTATTTTACTAAAGCTTTCTAGTATGAACAGAGTTGTAAAAAATACATCTGAAATATATAGAATTTAAACTAAAGTACCAGATGGATCGTTAATAGGGTTGTCAAGAGCCAAAATAACACTTTATAATGCAATTAAGATCAAAAGCATATAATCATAATACTTCCATTTAACAATCCTCGCTACCTTAAGTCTAAATTTATTCATTGGCCCAAGAAAATATAGAGCTTTACCTTCACAAAGACCATATCCTTACTCTTGCATGTTTTGTCTCAATTTCGCTGTAATAACATTAGCTATAGATCTACGCTTTTTAAAGCCAAGAGGATCATCATTATTTGCAGAGAATAAGTTCAAATCATTTTTCTTTTAAGAGAATATATTCAGCGCTTTGCTTATTTTGTTCTTATCACCTGCTTCTATTTCATGGCTAACATCTAATGAATCATTTAAACGAGTCTTTTTATTGTTAACTCCATTTAGAGCATCTTCATCTTCTGGCTGATTTTAAATTTTTCCAAAGTACTCTATTTTTATGTCATCTTTTTGTTCAATTTCGTATTTTTGCTTCTATAATTAGTTCTTTTTCTCCCGAGCTATTCTTATATCTTCTAGTTTCTTTTTAAAATAATCAATTATCTAGTCTTTCAATCCCTTTTACTAAGAGCCAACTTCTTTTCTATTTACTATTGAACTTTCATCGAAATTCTTAAGTAAAATAGCTAGGAAAAGATTTAGCAGAATCAACTATCCAATAACGACAAATGTGACAAAGAAAAATATAGCAATTGGTCCCTTTGCTCTTGTGAAATCATACATAATAGCATCCCAGTTTTCACCAGTAAGCACAATAAAAATGGTCATAAATGCCTCAAAAAAGGTATCAAAGTTGATTCTAGGAGATTTTCCATTTTCCAAATCCAGCTCTCCATCATCATTAAACTTAACTTGATTTGAAAATATCTCTAAGCCTAATAAAACATAGGTAAACATGAACAAGAATAGCAGTATTGAAAAGCTAGAAATATCTTTAAGTGAATTTGCAATTGTCCTTAGAAGTTCCTAGAACTTTTACCATTGTTTAGCCAATTTAAATATTCTCAACAATCTAAAAGCTCTAAAAGCAGAGATCGCTCCATTGCTTGTACTAGCATTTTTATTTATAGTGTAGTTTATAATAACATCCGCAACACTCAGAATCACTATAGATCCATCAAACACGTTAAATTTATCTCTCAAGTAATGTTTAAATCCTAAACCTAAAAATTTAATAATCATCTCAAAAAAGAAAATGCCAAAAAATGACAGATTCATGAGATCTAATTTACTCGAAAGCTCTTAATTTGCAGGGTACCCATCTAAAGTTAAGCAAATCGTATTCATGACAATTGACAATGTGATAATCCCTTAGAATACTCTATGCTTGCAAATCCTCAAGAATATTGGATCTTACTTCTTTTTACCTCTCAACTAATTAATAAGTACAATCTGAGAACTATCCAAAATATCTTAATTGCTTTATCTATTATCTTGCTCATTATCTATATGCATGCTGTCTTGGCTTTGGGATTTTTCATGCTTCCTAAAGCTTTCATTTAATTAGTCTTTATTCTAGATTTTGCTATAATTCTAGAGGATGCTCTTAAAGTAAGGCTTTTTAGGCTTTTAACCTTTCTTTCTTTGATTAAAATTAAGCTACTGAAGAATGCCGTCTTGCTTTTTCCCTAATAAAATTTACTCCTTTCTTTAGGATTCTTCTTATATAAATTTCTATTTTTCATCCATCTCAGTAAAGATTTTCATAATTACAGCAAGGAAAAGATTCAGCAGGAAAAACGATCCAATAATGATAAGAAATGGAAAGTAGAAACAAGCAAATATACCACTAGAATCCATATAATTGTACATTTAGGAAGTCCATCCCTCCATAGTTATACACTGGAAAATAGAGAGTAAACCGTAAAATATATTATCATAGTTATTGATGTTGTAGTAAATAAGCGAGGAAGAAGTTACGTTATCATAATCAACTGAAATACCATATTGACCTAGCGATCCACAATAAGTTCCCAAGTTGCATTCATACAAACCACCACAAAGTCTATTTTAGGTAAAATCAATAGGCCAATGAGTATTTGATACAGGCTTAGGAGTCAATCTGCACCTGAAATACTAATCTCCTTGAAACGTCTAGATCCCTAGTATACTAAATATCATGAAGATAAAAAGAAGGAAAAGAACAACATTTAGCATCTAAGGAATAGACATGAGGAGAGATCCCACCAGTCTTTTCATGCTTGGCACAGCTTTGATACTTCTCAAAGGTCTTAGAACTCTTAAAGTTCTCAAAGCTTTTAAGTTCGGGATATTAGGTAGAATGGATATTAGACCAATTAAGACAACGAAAAAATCTAAGATGTTCCAAGTTTCTCTCAGGTAGGAGTGTTTATGCATAACGAAACCCATTCCAATAATTTTAAGCACAGCTTCTCCAGTGTAAATAACTGTGAATACTATATCGAAAATGTCAAGAATCTTATTCTTCAGGGTCTTACTATCAGAATCCTAATAATCTCTTAATGATAACCCCAGAGAGTTTAAAAATATGATGCAAATGATAAAGTAGTCAAAGAATCTATGATTTTATAAATGCAATGAATAATTATGCTTACTTAGATGTCATTACTTGTATAATTACCTTTCTAAGTTTAAGTTCATTTCTAAAGCAGTATAATGATTTCGGGTCATACTAATTACCGATTTAAACAGAAATATATTATTACTTTAGAAAATTTTTGAACTTTTTGAATTTATTATGCTTTCATTTGCAAACTTTGCAAAATTGGAGCAGCAAACCCTCCATTTTATTTTTTTTCGTTTTCTTGTTGATTGTCATTTTATGGTGCCGAAATCCCAAAAAGTTTTCAAGACATCATATTCCCAGGTGCTACTTATGGCTATGGCTGGCTAAATTTGATTTATTAGGACATTGCCATATCGCTTTGAATCAACACATTTACTTCCATACCATTTTATAAATTTGTCTCTGAACCTTTACCATTTTAAACATAAATCTGACTTACTTTTGTTTCCAATGATTCTCCTTGTTGAGATATTGAGTTCTCTCGTAGTTTCATTGTCAAATAAGGATTTGTCAACTTGAATATTTATATTCATACTCGAGCACTTTTATTATAAAATATTATTCTAATTTTTAATACTTAGTGGCAAGTTAGATTTTTACTGAAAAATTAAGTTCATTCCCTTAAACTACATTACTTTTAATCACGGGGTTTTGGGGTTTTGGGGTTTTGGGG